CAGTATTTCAATAATTTTACAATATACTGCACTCAATAAATATCAACCTGAAATGAAATGTATTAAAATACGAGACAATAAGAGATGTCTTCCGAACTCACTGAGTTAAGAAACTGATAAGCCAACAGGTACATAAACCCATACGAAAATTTGTATGTAAGCAACGCTCTGTCACATGTAAAAAATAAACGGTAAATGCGACGCCTACGCGAGAGGCGCACACACGCACGCACGGGCGCACAAACACACACATATATTGTGCAATTCTTCACCATTCGCTCACCTCATAGGCCTCAATCATAAATGATGAGCGCTGCGGTTATGCATGCCTTGAAGGCGTGTTAAATGCAGATCCTTTTAATTTAAATTTCGAGGAAAAATTCTCGCTGATGTTGGCGTCAGCAATGCTCTGTGGCGTTACTACAATATGCAAACCTACATTTTGACGAGTTTTTTCGCCTACAAGTTGCTGCCTTTAACGAGAAGTCTTCTCGCAGTTGGAACAGCTTGATGAGCTATACTCAGATGTGTGCCTTGGTGTAGTAATAAATAAATGCATATGATTCAGCAGATTTTTTGCGGTGACAATTTCGCTGGAAGCATCATATAGCACCGCCTATAAAGAGATTGTTAATATAGGGTGTGCCATAGTTAATATAGGGTGTGCCATAGTGAAAACTTGCATATACGGAAACCAGTATATAAAATCGAACTTTTATAATTTTTTGTGGTAACTATTCATTGGGATGATTCTTTTCATATTTTCTGCGGATTTTGGACATTCATATCACAGCCTGAGCCGTGTTCGATTCGCCACTTTTCTACACGCTATGTTTGAGCTCTGCTTTTTGTACAAAAAGTTGCATTGGAAAGTAACAACAAAGTTGTCCAGTTGAATTCAATAAAAGAGAAAATAAGAATACCTCAATTAAGTGGTACAACTGCTTGGTATTTGTGTCTATTTATGCCAGTCTATTGCATTTATAGCAGTTGCTGATACGATTCGTCGTTCACCAAAGTTTGGCCAATCGCAGAAAGTTTTTGTTGTATTGTAGAATAGAAGATTGCTAGAAAGGAATGAAATGTGCAACTATTGAGTAGATAAAAAGCTCAGCTTTAGAAAACCTCAAGGTCATACCAAAAAGTACTTGAGATTAGAAGAAACTTTGTCCTAAGCGTATTACTTTTGAACAAAAGCTTTGAAAGGTACTGTATTAAGGGGCACATCCGATTACTGTAAACTTTTTTCTGCATGTCTTATATATTATAGTTTCCTGTACCTGATCATACTAGTGTTTTGATGTGTTAAAAAATCGAACTTTTGTAGGCCAACAGCGCCATTTTTAAAAAATTTTTTTAAGTTTCATCCACGGAAAAAGCCGGAGTCAACAGATCTTTTTATTCGCGACTTAAGGACCACCTTATAAACCTGTATACATTATCATTCGTTTCCCCGAAATTCTATGCGCCTCACCCTATAAATGTTCATTACAATTTATTTACGATTTTTTTGTCGGTTTCTCACTTGTCACAAAAGCTTTAAGGGAAATTGCCATTGAATATTGATGAATGGCTGCATGATGGGCGTCCATGGTATGCTTGATAGGCGTTAAACTATATAAGGCTGCGCATTGAAAATCAATATGAATGATTGACAAGCGTAAAGTTAAATGTCGCCTAGACGCAATGTCAATTTTCATATTGTAAGCATTTATTTAGTAAAGAGCAATAACAAGCAGCTGTTTGTTAACGCACAGTCAAGGGATCAGGGTTTCTTTTGATTGAAACAGCCTTTTCGTGGAGAGTTAAGAGTTTGCAGAATATTCAATTTAGTGGACTGGGAAGGACATGCCATAAATAAGAAAATTGTTTTGAAAGCGTACAAAATGATTGACTAAATTGATATAAAATTCCGAGGAGTTGGAAGCTAAGTATTTTGTAATTTTTCTTGTGTAAAAATAAAACAAGTTTTGGTTTGAATTCATGGTGAACAAGGGGTAGATAGACTTTAATGCGCATACATACATACATAAGTATGTACTTGTACATGCTAAGTTTTACTAAGCTTAGTGAATTGGGTATGTGAATAACTCGCAACATGTCCTGGGCTACCAACCATACTTTCTATAATTTTTTTGAATCGGACTTTAGAATGTGCACGTATGGTTCTCTCTTTTGTATAAGGGTCAAAATATTTTTTTTTGACCTCCGACTTTTGCTGCTGAAAGACAATAGAAAGCTTGTAGCTCATTACATTATACCGAGGAAAAGTTTAAGTATGAACCATCTGATCAAATATGACCCGGACTGACAAAAAACCTGTATATACATTAGTATTTATTATCGTCTTCAAATAGGCTCCCAAGCATTTCAATGCTTAATGTACTTTTCTATACAATTGTTGCAAGTATCGGCTGGTATGGACCTTCAGCGAATTTTGGATTTTTCAGTTTCGGCTCATTTTTGGAACGCCATTCGCTAGATTGTTGGACATTTTGGTCTCGTTATAAGTAACAAAATGTTTGGTAAATGTAGAGTTCTCATATGCGTCGTGTCAAGCTTCTCTTTTTCGACCTCTGTTCGACGTTGTTTTTTTGCAAAGGATTCAGGTCTAGCAATGACACGCTCCATACCCAAAACATTAACCAAAATGTGTTGAGTCGATCCATGAGAGATATTGAGAATCTCTGCTATCTCTCTGATGCCAAAGCGCTGATTTCATATTTTCATTAACTTTTTCTATGTTATCGTCCTTTACAGAGGGAGATTGGCGACATACATGATGCGAGTTTTATATATGTAAGTATACTCCCCAAAACAATTGGGCACAATTTTCAGTGAATTCGAAGACGTGATTACATTGGCAAACTCCGTTGTTCAACTTTTTTGCCATCGTGAACATCGCCAGACAACATATGGAGATGAAACTTCACTCGTATATAAGTATTTATAATATAAAAAGTTTTTACTAGGAAAAAGTTTTTGACGTTTCCATTTGCGCACGAAGTTTAAGTGGAGCACTCCGGGTCAAATTTGATCAGATGGTATGTATGTAACATCATTTATGTAAAGAAAAATATGATAATCTAGTTTTGCGCGCATTGACCACAACTTTAATGTACCCACCGAACCACATTACAACCACACATGGTTGCTGAAATTCAATATTATATAAGAACACACTCGAGTACACACATGAGGTTGCAACATTTGTAATCACGCTGATGGCGGTAAGAACAAAGTGTGGCTATCGATATTGCGCACCTGACATTAATTTCAATGAGCGAAAGTCAAACGGCTGTTGTCGCCATCAAGGAGCAGCCGACGACAGTTTAGATATCGTTCACTATGACGTTGATAGCGCCACAGCTGTGTCGGTGCCACGCATATACACACGATGAACACTTACCAGTCGAAAAGTATAATACATACATACAAACATACATCGTAATATTACAATGTTTATCAATAATTGTTTTGTCCAGAAACAAAAAAGAAAAAAATTTCGGTAGAACTTTTATTTCATGTCAACGGCATTAGAGTCTAGCAGGAGGATATCAAAAAAATGCGGGAAGACGTAAAAAAGCGAGGGAGGGGCTACTCGTTTAAGTGTCTTCGTATGTTTTCTTTTCATTTATTGTATATTTTTTTTAGTTGCCTCAAACATAAAAAAATATCAGCTATTCATATCACGAGTAATCGAAAGGAAATTGCGACCACTCACATCCCTCGAGATAATGTGACATTCATGCGAAGTAGAAATGTTTTAAATGCCTAAATATGCCTATTAAATGTAAACATTAAAGAAAAACTTTCTAGAAAAACCACGCCCACCTGGCAGTTAATATTTTGCATTACGAATGTGAGTTAATATTTTTCAGTCACTGTGTTAACAGCCTGGCAGTTCAGAGGAACGTACTTGAATCAAAAAATATTTATATTGCACATGTCAAAAGATTCATAATCAACTATATAGGTTAGGTTAAGCTATATATCTAACTTCAAGAAAGCATCGCACATGAACTTATTATAATCACTCCTTTGTGGAGCTAGAAATCGAAGTCCAGTACTTACATTTTAAGTGTCGACAACACTCCTCCTACCCACTGCAAATCTGGTTAGGCGTTTAATTTTTAATTCCATCAGCTCTGTTGGATGTCTAAAAGAGTGGGATTCAAGGATTCTTAGCCTCTTAGCTCGCAAATGTGAGTCATTCAAGAAGCTTTTACAATTGAAATCCGTGAAGAATTTTAATCTTGATAACTTCAAGAGGAAAATATCCAGTCATGATTCTGACAATTAGGAGAAGCTGTAGCTTGCTGAGGACGAAAAGCTGGCTGATTCTCTTGCGATTGACTTTAGAAAGGGAAAAGAGCTTGCGACCGCTGCCCAGGTACCGACAGCTGCCCAGCGCTCTCCACGCCTCCGCCAGGCCCAGCTAACCAAAAGTAACGCATAGTTCCAACCCGTTATAACTCCAACGGCAGGAAGGCTGAGGTGCCTTGCCTTCCGAATTCATTTCGCTTTGTAGTTGCGTGCGAAAATAGTCTTATTCAGAAGTAACGTGACGCCTTTGATAGCGAACCAGCCTCGAGCTTTGAGTTTTTCATGCTTTTGAGCTCTTTAAGTTTGTTGACATTTTGAAGCTTGTGAGCAATTTATATAATCATATGTTTCTTCAATAAATAAAGCAGACTTCACTCTCATCGATATTGTAGAGGGCTTTTTAAGTTACTAAAGTGGGTTTTAGGCATTTTTAAGCTCGCTGGTACTGTGATCTAAAAATAGGATTCCTGGAATTACAAAACCAGATTTCATTTCGACAATTTTTTTATATTTTTTAACATTTGGTATTTTTGAAGCTTTTAAAGTTTTTTTTTTAATTTTTAAGCTGTTTTTGGGTGTGGTTGTTTGGTAAATAGACTTCCATTATTACCAAACCAGATTAAGGTTCTGCACGCTATTTTTCGTATCAGAATTGTAAGATTTTTCTAGAGTAGTACCATAAACAAAAGAAAACAACAGCATTCTTCTTTATTTGTTTATTATGTCGATTAATGAACTCAAAATTATCTGAGAAACAATGATATCACAGAAAGTTTCACTTCAATATTACACAATCAGACAGATATTGCATTAAATTTAATAAATACCGTTAAGACTATGGTGACCTAGAAAAAGGTTATATAAAAGCGGCCTAAAATGAAATTAAGTCAGTGCACTTGCAGTACGCAATGCAAAAATATAATTAAACACAGAGAGTTCTAAAGCTCCGCTAAAGTCAGTAAAGCAAAACGAGTCGATATGAAGCTTTCAGTGTATGGCGCATTGCTACTGGTATTCAGCGGCAGCTTAGCGCAGGACGCCGAAGCTCCAGAATCAATTGAAGTTACGTCACAGACACCGGGTCGTATCAATTGGCTGCCCGTTTGAGATAGCGATCAAATACCAGGTGATCCGCGGCAGTTTGAACGCAATCCGATTTTCAATCCGTTGCTACCGTTTCTTCCCATAAGACCACAGCGTAAGTTGTTTGTGCGGCTTTTGTTGAAAATTTGAATTAATTTACTTTTGCACAATACTTGAACCCGCAGAGAACCTTGGACCCTGTGATGCGCCCAACGGCATGGGCATACGTAATCTCTTGGTACAAGCCAAAGCGTTACTACCACGCGAACGCATTCGCGCCATTATACGCGGCGCTGCCGAAGATCCCGAAATGGTGGCACTAATAAAATTGATGCAATCGCCGGAATTTCGCAAACGTGTCGCCAGCTTAAATCGCTCGCGCGAGTACAGAGGCTATCGTGATTATACCTGCTACAAAATGAATTGTGATATAAAATTATACGCCGACTTCGTAAAGAACTTACTACAATTCGATGTGTTGACGGAGTCAAAAAAGAACGATACCGACACGGAGGTAGTCAAAGGTCGCGCGGGTATACGTGGTGTTCTGAAGGACATACGCAATGCGTTGCCGCGTCAACGATTGCGTGATTTATTCGAGCTTTTAATGTTGCGCGATTGGTATTTGCTGCGTGCGGTTCAGCGCGCGCAAAGCTATGAATTTGAAGCCATTTTCAAGATCTTGCAGAAGAATCCAGATTATGTATATTTGCGTAAAGCCCAGTCTGACATCGGAATGCCTGTGGAGGAGGTGAAGAAGTTGGTCTACGTTGCGTTAGGTTGGCGTCAGGATGCACAGAATGCCACTGATAATCTCTTCATAGATAAATGAGGGAGGGTTTACATTTCAGTGGCCAAACGTTGTTTCCATATCTTTATATAAAAAATACAAATATAATATGAACTTATTATTAAGTTTTGGTGCAAGTAGATAAATTAAGACACGTATATGTAATTTTATGCCATGTAGTCGGTTACTGTATATTTTAAGAGACTTTTAAATAAATAGTAAACACATGTCAGTTATTTTTATTGTTCGCCCTGTATGTTGTGGTGTCAGTATGATGACCTGGGTCTATACCTCCGATGCAAATTGTACTTTGGTTACATTCCACGATTGTGAGTTTTCGATTACACTATTTCTGTTAACATGTAAATACTTAGAATCTTATCGTTCCAAAAGCACTTCGTTTCATTAGACTTTGAACTCTCATTGATCGTGGTCAGGGGTAAATTTATTTGATCTTCACGTTAGCGTTCTAACTACTTCGATACAACGGAATTGAAATATCAATAGCTTATGTAAAGTCGAAGCCCATCGGATAGAGTGGAAACTAGAGTCTACTACGTTGTCTTTTTCAAAAATTTTTGTAAAATGTGGCTCATCTAGTATAGAACCTGGTAGTCCTCCTTTACTCTTACTAGACATGTTAATTTGGGAAATGCATGGTTTTCTTTCCGTGAGATGTTTTTTGCTTATTTGGGGCCTTTGGATTAAGGTGAAAATCCTGCTTTACTTATCAATTCTTGAAACCGATGTGCTTTGGGAAGTTCATCGATTTTGTATTCGTAAAAATTTTAAAATATTCTTATCAACTGGCTGAGCTTTTTTACTGGAATCTTTGCCCAAATTTGTATTCTTAACATCATTGATTTAACTTTCTATACAATTTTTAGAGTTGTTCGAAATTAGGTACAGGGCATATCTAGTTTTTTCGGCCTCTTCAGATTTGGTTCCGTGATAATTTCCCTGTATAAATAAATTTTGATACGAATATCATAAAATATACCTCCTCTCCAGCTAACTTATAAGTAAAAGACTCCCTATCGGTAAAATTTTTACAAAAAAGTTTTTTTGGAACCCTTTTAATCTGTAGAGTTTGTTCGAGAATAATTTATTTGAGAATATTTAGATTTGCGTAGAAAAAATAAAGTTTCGGTTATATTCTGGTATTTTCATGAGATATCTTCCTTTTGAAATTATATACAAGAACGTTGTTTTCCAAATTTCGCTTTACGGATCAGACTTAATCTAAGTACAAACTGATTAATCAGGTCTGAATAAAACTTTGACTAAAGTGGCACATTTAGTGTGATAGCTTAAATATAAGTGATTTTAGGGAGTTAAAAAAAAACTGCTGTATCAATTGTTTTAAAATTTTATGGGTTTATTTCTACATATTTAGGAATACAATTTTATTAAAGAAAAAAATTAAAAATTTTTTGAGTTAAACAAGATCTTACACGGTGCTCAAAAAAGGTACTCCACACATGATCGGACCATTTGTCTCCGAGTAATCACTAAAACAAATTTGAACAAGTAAGGAAGGGCTAAGTTCGGATGTAACCGAACATTTTATACTCTCGCAAAGTCAAATAGTATACTCGTTTGAGATTTCTTTGTGGATTGGCTGATATTTTCGGTAGAAGGTCAACTATAGGCACTGGGGTCCACATATTTAGTACTTAGGGGCTTAAACAGTTTTGGTTCGATTTAGACAATTTTGGCACAAGGTGGCATACTTTAATCGCATTATTCACGCAAAGTTTTATCCCGATACAGTCATTGTTGCCTGATTTGCATAGTGGAAAGTGAAATAATCAGATGGAATTTAAAATGGTGTTATATGGAAAGTAGGCGTGGTTGTAGTCCGATTTCGCCCATTTTTGCACTGTGACATAGAAACATGAAAAGAACGTTATGCACCGAATTTGGTTGAAATCGGTTAAGCAGATCTCAAGATATGGGTTTTCACCTAAAAGTGGGCTGTGCCACGCCCACTGTCTAATTTTGAACGCGGTTCCTATAAAGTCATCTCATACCATCCCAGAGATAAAATTAATGACTCTGGCGTGTTTAGTGCTTGATTTATCGCGCTTTAGTAGTTTTTAACAGTACCGTTATATGGAGAGTGGCGGAGTTCCACCCGATTTCAACTATTTTCACACCGTCAATAGAAGTGCTAAAAATATTGGCTTCCAGTGAATTTTGTTATTATAGCATAGCGGTTTAGGAGATATGCACATTAAACCTATTAGAGGCGGGACCACGCCCACTTTTAAAAAAAATTTTAACTGCAGATGCCCCTCCCTAATGTGATCCTGTGTACCAAATAACAGTCTTGTATCTTATTGCGGAGCTTAGTTATGGCAAGTTATTTGTTTTTGATTAATGGCGTTTTGTGGGCGTGGCAGTGGTCCGATTACGCCCATCTGCAATACCAACCGTCTCACGGTACCATGAAACATGTCTACCAAGTTTCATAAAGATATCTCAATTTTTACTCAAGTTAGAGCTTGCACGGACGGACGGACAGACGGACAGACGGACGGACAGACGGACGGACAGACGGACGGACGGACAGACAGTCACCCGGATTTCAACTCGTCTCTTCATCCTGATCATTTATATATATATAACCCTATATCTAACTCGATTAGTTTTAGGTGATACAAACAACCGTTAGGTGAACAAAACTATTATACTCTGTAGCAACAGGTTGCGAGAGTATAAAAATGTAGTTTTGAGAAAAAAAAACGTGTCTAGAGATGAAGCTAACGGAGCGGCTACACTTTAGAAGGCTGTATCTCAAAATCTACTTGAGATATTGATTTAAAATTTTAGCAAGTTATTTTTATGGTTGAATCGATCGAAATAAAAAATCGATATATTTTTTAATTTCGCCACTATTTGCGTCCCTAAAAGTGTGCTAAGCTACTATAATTGTCTGTTGAAAAAATATTATTTCTTATTTTCTCAATCATATGTATGTAAATATAAGTATATATACTCTTCTCTCTTTTTTCGTTATTTTGTCATTCTTTTTTCCCTGTATAACCTCAAAATGTTCCAACTTAATATATTTTATTCAGGTTTGTTCTAGTTATTCACTTACCTTGCCTATACATGTGTAATGGATTTTGATTAAATCCCTTCGTAAACCGCTTCTGCACAGCCAACTAATGACTTAATAAAAACATTTAATTGAAATGGAACATGCTTTTGGGGCTGATGAATTCTCGAAATCTCATGCCGTGCAACACCAGAAGCGGCACGGTAGCATTAACTACACAAGTATATGCGACGTCTGTGTGTAGGTATGTTTGTACTGCCGATGTTCCGCTTTTATGCCACCCTATCACTAATGAACACGAAAAAGGCACGCACCACACAAATAGGAAGACTAAACAGCGGCACAAAAAGCTGAAAATAAAATAAATCAACTTCATTGTATTATTGACTAGCAGGCCCCTAATCATGCCTCGATATTTTTTTACGCCCAAATGTGTGTATATACATACATATATATATATGTAGGTGTATGTATGTATGCAGCCATTTGTTTTGTAAAGTTATGTGGGGAACGCGTCCAGCTGTTGTTTACACATTCGTGCACCAAGCAATACTCAAGAGCTTGAATTGCTGTCGTCATAGCTATTGTAGACTGTTCTACATACACTTCATACACGAATTGGTTCATATATATGTATGTACCTATGTATATAGGTATGTATGTATGTATATATAAGGAAAAAACACTCCACTTAAATATATTTTTCAAGTAATTTAAATATGTATCTATATTCACATACATATGTACATATGTACAGCTTTCGCCTTTCCTGCTGCACAATCCTTTGCAATTGTTATGTTTCTTTCACGTCTTTCTTTTCGCTCTTGTTCTTTTCAATTTCTCAACAACATTCGCATTCATTGTTAAATGTTTTTATTTACTTTGACACGGCTTGCAAGGGCTCGAAGGAAATTGTTTGAAATGCAAGTATGTAAATTGATGAAAATAATAAAAGTGCAAAGAAATGGAATACATTTGTAGCTATTTCTCGATCCGAAATATAGGAGTATTGTATTAAAAATACTTTGTAACTAGTTATTTAAGGACTAGTGCCGGTCTAGTTCAAATTTTTTGGCCATTTCTCGAGGTGAAGCGCAACAAATAAGAGTCTTATAAGGAAGAGTCTTTTCCACCTCTAATATGAGGATGAGGCTTTTATCAGTGTAATTTCATTACTATTACTAACCATCAAACTTTGATTTATAGAAATACTCTTTTTACGTAATCGGCTTAATATAATAAATTATTTAATAGCGGATTTTTTAGACGTGTGTTTTTCAATGAGGCATTACTTTTTTCGTAGTTGGTATTTTTGTTAGTTGTTATTTGATTTATAGTCAGTTTAGTTTGCCATTTCATAATGAACAGACTTACTACATAACAGCGTTTGCAAATCGTGCAAGCTTTTTACCAAAATATTGGTGCGGTTCGCACGACGCATCCTGGGCTGCGTTCAATATTCGGTTGCCATAACCGCGCAGCAGAGTCGTTATATCGGTATCGCACCACGTTTACTCTGGGGTATAATGCGCATCTTTATAGACGCCATACAGTGCGCACCAAAGACGCAGCTGTGAAGTAGCGTATCGTAGAAGACCTGAATGAGGGTCTCCACCAACAATTAGAGATATTTTGCGTTACTACTCCTCGTACAAGAATTGAAGCCGAACGACTATCGTCCTAAAACGAGATGGTCACCGAATTTCACAACAAAATTTTGTTCAGCGATGAGACTCCAATTCGATCTGACATTTGGAGACATAAATAAATTTCAAAAAATCTCTTTACAAAAGGAAAATACACAATGCACTAATTAATTTTTGCCAGAAAACAAGAAAGCTTAATTTAAATAAACTTAGATGAAAGTGAATTCAAAAAGTTTATAAAAAGCTGAAGAAAATTTTTATGAACTATTTTATAACAAGTCACATTTAAACCTACTAACTTCGGAACAATTATTAATTAATTTTCTTTACGTTTTAACTCTTCGCTATTTACTGAATAATTTGTTCTTCGGCAAAAACTAGCTCAGATTTGTCTCAGTACGGCACCATAAAGCAACGAACTAGTCCTAAACTAGTTTCAAATCAACTCGACTGTAGAAATAATATCAATCAATTTGCCATACTCTGTTATAAGAAAGTTTTTAGAAGTATTTTAATGAACTAGTCC